GACACCTCAGGTGGATTATATACACCCCAGGTGTATATACACTTGAGGTGTATATACACCTCTGTTCAGGTGTATATACACCTGAATTATATGTACAGCTGAGGTGTATATACACTTCGCTCTCCTTACCCCCGTAATCCATCCACGGCTTGATCAAGCAAACCCATAGCTAGCTGGGGGGCTAGCTAGCTGTCTAGCTAGCTAGCTGTCTAGCTAGCTAGCCATCTAGCTAACTAGCTGGGTGGCTAGCTAGCTATCTAGCTAACTAGCTGTGTGGCTAGCTAGCTGTCTCGCTAGCTCGCTGTGTATGTGTGTGCATTTGTATGGATCGATGGAGGAGCGCGGCTGGCAGGAGTAGAAATAAGACAGACAAATGAGAAAAACAAAAACAAACAAACAAATACATAAATAAATAAATAAATAAAGATTAAAAAATATTTGTTTAATGAAAAGGAGAAGGCCAGCGCCTGTTGATAAGGCCCTTATTAGAAGGAAAAGACTGCTGAGTGTCGGGGTGTACATACACCTGACTGCGCAATTCTTTTTCTTTTTCGCTTTTAATTCTTCTTCTAGCCAATCGATCTAAATAAGATATTCTTTTTCTTTTATATAAAGGGTCAAAGAAGCGGTGCATGCATGCGCTCGTATCTGCTGCTTTATCCAGCAGCTCCTGCTGCGCTGCTGCTTGTCTCTTCTCTCTTTCTTGCTTTTCAATATTACTTTCAGGTAAAGACAAACAAATAGGGTGTACATACACCCCAATAGGCGGCAGCAAACCCAGAGACACGGGATCTCTTAATAAATCTTCTTTCTTTTGTCTCGTCTCTTTTGATGCTGCTCTTCCTGCTGCTGTTGTTGCTGCTGCTGCTCCGCGTGCTGCTGGTGCTGCTGCTGTATTTGCTGCTGCTGCTGTTGCTGCTGTTGCTGCTGCACTTAGGCTGAGCAGCTTTTGTCTAGTTTTGTCTTTTAGGCTTTCACCTTCTTGTGTCTCCTCCTCTATACACCGCAAGAGAGATGCATTATTCGCCTCTACTCTCTCATATCCTAAACAAACAAACAAAAGAAAAATAAAAACAAATAAACGAATGCATGCATGCATGCATGCATGCATGCATGCACCACCAAAGGCAGCAGCAGCAGCAGCAGCAGCAAGAGCGAAGGCAGCACTCCTAGGGACAGCAGCAGCAGAAGCAGCGTTGCTAACAGCAGCAGCAGAAGCAGCGTTGTTAACAGCAGCAGCACTCGAATAAGCTATAACCCTTCATACAGCAAGAGTAGCAGCACGGAGACAGCAGCAGCAGCAGAAGGAAAAGAGAAGGAAGCACGAACAGCCACAGCAGCAGCAGCAGCAGCAGCAAGAATAGCAGCACCAGCAGCCGAGGTAGCAGCAACAACAACAGCAGCAGCAAGAACACCAGCAGCAGCAACAGCAGCAGCAGCAGGAGGCCAGACCTTTTGTTGGTGCAGCGTAGCTGCAGGGTGCTCTCGGCAGCAGCAAAGAAGAAGCAGTAGCAGCAAATACAAGTAGATCAGCAACAGCAGAAAGTTGTTGCTGTTTCTGCAGATGCTGCTGCAGCAGCTGCTCTAAGGCGGAGACAGAGCTGGAAGCAAACCAAAGAACAACACAATCAGAAGAGAAAGGGTTTAGGGTTTAGGGCAAGGGTTTAGGGTTTTGGGCGAGGGTTTAGGGCTTAGGAAGAGGGTTTAGGGCTTGTCTAGTTGAGGCGTGCTATACACGAAACCACCGGCAAACGCTAGGGTTTAGGGTTTAGGGTTTACGAGCATTCGCTGGCCTCGCGAAGAATTCGGTTGAACTCCGTTTGTGTTGTGCCCCTCAGTTTAGCAGACAATTCCAGTAACCCCAGAACTGCACACAAACCCTAAACCCTAAACCCTAAACCCTAAACCCTAAACCCTAAACCCTAGTGTCTGGCAGATGTCTGCCTGAGGCAACAGGGATCTTCGTGCGGCGGTCTCCCGCTCCACAAACCCTAAACCCTAAACCCTAAACCCTAAACGGAAGAAGGGATGGTACAGTAACTACCAGGGCGTTTCTAACCCTAAACCCTAAACCCTAAACCCTAAACCCTCACGGGTTTGGGGCTTCATTTTGTCTGTCCAGCGCCACGTCTTGTCTTGCGGCGCGACGCCGCTCAGAGGGTCGTCAGGAAAGAGAGATCTGTATAACCTGCAGCACAAACCCTAAACCCTAAACCCTAAACCCTAGGCATCTTCAGCAGGGAAACCCAAAGCGAAAGAATAACGCAAACACGCAAGCAGAAGGAAGACGATTTAGGGCTTAGACTAGGGTTTAGGGTTTAGACTAGGGTTTAGGGTATAGACCGGGGTTTAGAGTTTAGACGAGGGTTTAGGGTTTAGATTAGGGTTTAGGGTTTGTACGCATGGAGGTCTTGTAGAGTTGGGTTTTCTTTAAGAAGCTCCGCGTCTAACTGCTGCAGCAAACGGCAAATGATATTCTTTTTCGTCGCCAGCAGACGCATCAAACCCGAGAGAGAAACTAAAGAAGGATGCGTCTTCTTGGGGGCATAACGTAGAGCCTGAAAAACACAAACCCTAAACACTAAACCCTAAACCCTAAACCCTAAGTATTGCGCTGTGCAGAGAAGAACAGAACGGTGTCTTCCTTCGGAGAAGCCTCTAGGATATTCCCTCACAACAAATAAACCCCAAACCCTAAACCCTAAACCCTAAACCCTAAAGACTGACCTGCATTTGTAAGTATTGATCTAAGTGGAAGCTAGGTATATCATATTTACTAGGCCAGTAATAATTAAGCATTTCTTTTCCTTTTAAAGGCTTAAGCCAAGCAACTTCTCCCGGCATTCCTTTTGCAAAACCAAACAATTGCTGTCTCAATGCGTGTGCACGTTTCTCGAGGTGTACATACACCTCAGATTGAGTAGACAAACTTTTTAGGGTTGGGCGGCCCCCTACCGCCAAACCCCGCAGGGGAATTTCTTTCATTTTAATTTCATTGTATTTATTTTTTAATTTCATACATTTTAAATACAAACTTCAAACAAAATACCCCTCAAACACATACAAAATGTATGCATGCATGCGTGGGGCTGGGTTGTACGGTCGTGCAGATTAAATATAAAGAAAATTTTCATTAAAGTAGCAAAATAAATAATAAAAAAATTATTTATTTAATTCATTATCTAATTTTCACCAAAATTAAACTCGAAGAAAACAAACAAAGTGGCGTACTGCTGCAATGTATATATTTACATTTATATAGAAATATAAGTAGTATAGCACAAGCAAGCTGTATACACACACACATATATATATATCTACATATATATACATGTGTATAAATGCATATGAATAAATATATACATGCATATGTATAGAAATATGCATTATATATATTAATATATATGTAGCTTATTCTATCTTCGCTCAAAGAGAGATAGCATTAATATGCGTCTGTACATTTACTTTATTCAGAAACAAAATAACATTTGTACAGCAGCAGATTGATCGTTTACAGCAACTTAATAGAGGAATAAATTTTTTTAAAAAGGGTTTATCTGCACTTCATTCATACATTCATTAACATGCATCTGTGCAAATACTACACACATAAATAAAATAATAATAAAAAGAAATATTAATAAAACCCTCAGGGCCGCCTTCTCTCCATCAATCCAACGATATATATATTATATTATATTATATTAAATGTTTTACTTCCTTATATATTGTTTATCTGCATGCATGCATGCACATACATACATGTATTGAAATAGGAATATGTCACCATATATATATATATATGTATATACATGTATACATATATACATATATATATATATAGCAGAGCTACACCCTCTAATTTCTGGGTTTATTTAAGAAACGAATAGGGGACAAAAGAGACAGCAGAGGGCTGTAACACTTATCAGCACATCGACAAAGTATAAAAGAATATGTATATATATATATACATGTATATATATATATATATATTTACACATGTATATATATGTGTATTTATATTTACATGTATATATATATGTATATATTTATTTGTTCATATAAAGAAATAATATGCATCTGGTGTAGTTGCATTCATTAACTTATTATCATATACAAAAAAACTTATCTCTATTTGAGTACAAACAAACGAAAGTTGTTTAAAAGGCTGCTGCTCTCTTTGTTGCTGTTAGTTAAGTTGGGGTGTATATACAGCAAGACAGCAGAAGCAGCGATTTCTCTGTCTTCTTCCTGCACCAAGGAAATAGATAGACGAATTAATTTTAGGGTTTAACAGCTATGCGGCTGCAGCTAGGGTATAGGGTTTAGGGTTTAGGGTTTAGGGTTTGAGGGAAAACCACGAACTGCTTCACAAGGTTGTCATCAAGGCTGTATAATCTGCAGGCGTTCTAATAGCAGCAGCAGCAGCAACAGCACCAGCACCAGCACCAGCAGCAACAGCACCAGCAGCAGCAGCAGCAGCAGCACCGGCACCAGCACGAGCAGCAGCAGCAGCAGCAGCGGCAGCAGATGCACTGCTGCTGCTGCTGTTGTTGCTGTCTGCTGACGGTTCTATGGTGTAGTGGTTAGCACTGCGGACTCTGAATCCGCCGACCTGGGTTCAAATCCCAGTAGGACCTGTTTTAAAAATAAATATAAAATAATATTTAATGATATTTTCTTTTAATTATATTATATTAAATTCAATTTCTATCGGTTTTCTTCTTTTAAAAAAGAGCTAAGCCCAGGCTTAATACCCCTCTATGCACCCACAGCTGCTGCGGTGTATATACACCAGACAACAGATTAGTGATAACAGCTGTTTCTACTCCTATCAGCTACAATAAATGAAATTTTGTTTTGTTTTATTTTGCTATATTTAATTTAATTTATTTTTAATTTTTTAAATTTGTGTATTAGCAGGAGGAGAGCTGGCGGTGTACGTTAGAGAGGCTCGCGGAGAGAAAGACAGCCTTATTTATTTCTTCTATAGTGTTGATCAATTTAAATAAATAATATTTTTAATTTAATATATATTTTTATTATCATTATTCCTTTTAATTCTCTATAATTTCACGCATTGTTTGCTGTACCTGCACAGCTGCATTGACAGCCGAGGCATATATATAATTCGCTCATTAAAGAAAAGCATAAAACCTTAGAAACTTCAAACCTGCTGATTCTGAATTAAAAATATATATTATATGTATGCAACAATAAAAGTTTATATGCATTCTCTGTCGAAATAAACCCTAAACCCTAAACCCTAAACCCTAAACCCTCAGCTGGTCGAGGTCACCCAACCATTAGGGGCTTCGCTGAAGGCTCACCACGGCCTCTTCCTCTTTGTCGTTTTATTGAATAAATAATAAAACAAATTGATATAAATTGTTATATATTATATTAAATAAAATAAAAGAGATGTAATAAACTCGAGTGTACACGCTGAGACAAATCGCCTTAGATGTTTTAAAGCCCAACAACAAACAACCAACAGCTGTCTCTTTCTCGAGATGAGGGTTTAGGGTTTAGGGTTTAGGGTTTAGGGTTTCGGTTAGGAATTTCATCGGAACCAAAACATATATGGCTTCTTCTTCTTTTCTTTCATCTCTTACTTTCTTAACGCCCTTTCATTTACCTGCACGCAGGCGGCGTCGCAGCAAAATGTTTTTATGTTTTTTTTTACTTCCTTTTTGTCTTTGTTTTGTTGCTGCTCCTCCTACCATTGCTGCTGCAGTGTCTTCAAGGCATTCGAGAAGGCTTGCAGCAGACTCACACCATGAGGGAAGGTTTCACTTGAATGCTGCAGCAGCAGCAACTCCTGCTGCTCCTGTTGCTGCTGCTGCTGCACCTTCTTTTCCTGTGCATCAAGCAGCAGCTCTGTCTTCTGTTGCCTTCAGAAGAGGTTCCCCGCAGCCAACAAGCGAGCCCACAGCCTTGCTGCAGCGCGAAGATGCAGCAACAGCAACAGCAGCAGCAGCAGCAGCAGCAACAGCAGCAGCAGCAGCAGCAACAGCAGCAGCAGTACCCTCACTGGTAGAGGCAAAAACAAATGTAGCTCTCCATCCTATTGACAGAGCCTTCATTGTGCACATCTTACTCGGGTTTATGGTTTGTATGATTGTTTTGCTGCTGTTTACAACCCTTATGTGTCTCCTCAGCAAGGATTAAGCAGCAGCAGCAGCAGCAGCAGCAGCAGGTACTGCTGCTGCTTCTGCTGTTGCTGCATGCATTCAACAGCCTTCATACTCTACACGCGTTTTTTAAAGCCCCTTGAACCGTCGCTTATTATTGTATTAAACTGTAGAGGGCATTGAGAAGACGAACAAAAGTATAAAATTTACTTTTATTTTATTTTTATTAAAAGAAGACAGATATTCTTCTCCTTTTTATTTCTTTGCATGCAGCTCAACATGCAAGGGTCTCTATACATATAAAACCCCTGATAAACCCTAAACCCTAAACCCTAAACCCTAAACCCTAAACCCTCGACCCGAATGAAGACGCGCATTTTCCCCATTAAGTTTTTTGGAGTTTAAAGGAGATTAAATAGAATTAAAGTAAATTTAATTAAATATTTTAATTTAAAGAAGTGACGAACAACCAATATAATCTGGGGCGGATGGTGTAGTGGTATCACGTCTGATTTGCATTCAGGAGGTCCCGGGATCGATCCCCGGTCCGTCCAAAAACTTTTTAACAAACTAAATTATATTTTAATTTCACTCCTTTTCTTTGTTTCTTCCCTTTCAATACACTATCCATATATTTTACTATTATTATTATTATTATTATCTTTATTATTATTATTATTGTGCTAACCCCTGTTCGTACACCTTGCTAACTATTGTGTAAGGATGGGGGGCCCCAGAGGGCCCCCACAACAACTATAGTTGAACAACCGCTGTATGCTTGAAGCTAAAATGTACTCTAATTAATTATTTTTACTCTTTTACATATTATCTTAACTTTAATAGTAGTTTAGTTGCAAATGTTTAGGGTTTAGGGTTTAGGGTTTATGGTTTAGTTAGGGTTTAGGGTTAGCGAGCACTGCAGGCGCAGCAATCATGATGCAACCATCTAGCGAAACTCCTTCTTCTCCTGCTGCAGCAGCAGCAACAACAGCAGCAACAGCAGCAGCAACAACAGCAGCAACAACAGCAGCATCAACAGCAACACCGGCAGCAGCAACAACAACAGACGCACCAGCAGCAGCAACAGATGCATCAACAGCAACACCGGCAGCAGCAGCAACAACAGCAGCATCAGCAGCACCAACACCAGCAGGAGCAGCAGCAGCAGCAGCAACTCCTTCCTGGTTAGCTGCAGTAATGAGAAAAGAAGCATATGAAAGCCCTGGGCAGCATGCAGCGCGAGTTGAGTTTCTCAACAAGGTCTCCGCAGTGAGTTAGGGTTTAGGGTTGGTTAGGGTTTAGGGTTGGTTAGGGTTTAGGGTTTAGATGCGCTGCAGCGGAGGGTTTAGTGCTGGGAAATTGCCTA